TGGCAAATTTGGAGAGAAAAGTTTCAGTTGAATGATGAAGTTGGAAGTTAGATTGTAGAGGCCTATGTGAGTGAGATGACAGCAAATGGAGACACTGATTATAGCTAACTTTTTCAAGAAATTTACTTGAGAAAGAGAGGAGAGATAAGGAGTAATAGCTAGCAGTGAGGGTAGCTCACTTGAGAGTTGGTTTTGTTTTTAAGGTGAGAGACATGGGTATGTTTGTGGGCAGGAGGGAAAGAGCTAGTAAATAGGGAGAATTGGAAGATAAGAGAGAGAGAGAGAGTGGAAATGAAGGTCAGGGCAATCTGCTGAAAAGATGAAAGGGGATGGGACCCTGGGTGTACTAGAAGGATTGGCCTTGGTAAGAAGTACCCCTTCTTCGTCTAAGATGGAAGTAAACTAAACTAAATATAGTTGGGAGAGTTTTGTTTTTCTTTCTTTCTTTGTTGTTTTCCGTGGAGGAAAGGCATAAGGGAGAGAAAATAAATGCTTATTAATTGAAAAAAAAATACAGCTTTTTACATGGTAATTGTAAGACAAAAGATAAAATGAAAATCAGCAAATTGGAATGGAGAGAAAAAAGAAGATAGTTGGGAAAGATGTCTGAGTGAAGTGAGTTGAGCAGGGAAGAGAAAAGTAAAGGGCCTTAATTTTTTCACTGAATCATGAGGTGAAATCCTCAGCAAAAAGAGTGGGGAATGGGTGGCTTGGGAGGCTTGAGGAACAAGAAGGTCTGAAACAGCGGGTGTGGAGAGTGGGATAAGGGAATTGATTAGGAAACAATAGAATAACTGCCTTGCAGCAGTGAGGGCCCAGTTAAGATTAAATAACAAATTTGTAATGGATCCAATCTGTGCCTTCCCGCTTCTCTCTGTCCTCTATTAAACTTTCTGATCTCTACTGTGTATTTTAAAAGTTTTGTTAACACTACTGTTTATTTTCTATATTACTATCATTACTTCCACACTCTTCCCACCTCCTCCATCCACCTATCCCCACCCCTAGCCTTCCATAAGTATAGTCAAGCAGAATAAATCAACATATTGATTATATCTAAAAATAATGTCTCATTCTGCACCTCTAGCCCATCACCTCTCTTCTAAGAGGTAGGAGACCTGCTTCCTCATCAGTCTTCTGAAGTTATGATGGGTCATCACATTGATTAAAATTCTAAAGTCATTCACAGCTGCTTTATTGTGTTCATAAATTGTTCTGGATCTATTCATTTCAATCTGAGTCAATTTATGAGTCTCTCCTGATGTGTTATTCAGGAAATTTTGACACTCTGCTAATAATGCATTGTTTTGGCTCTATGGACAGAAAATAAGTCATGTCAGAGGCCCCCAGAGTGAGTTAGTAATTAATCCAGGTTGACATAAGAACTCTCTTTCTTTACTCTGTTTCTTTACGGATATGTTGGTTTAGCAAACAAAGTTGGTAACTTTCTCATGCCAGGTTCTTAATCTAAAGTTTTCCTGTGGGAGCTGCCACCTTGCTTGGTGTGATCATAATGATGAAAGATTTGACCAGCAACTTGCATTTAACTTTATATTTTTTTGTCAGCCAAAGACAAGGTTTATTAGAACATCTTCCATATTGGCCAGACTCTTAAGGAGTCTGAACATTAGTGAGCTATTGGCTAAACTGTAAGAATCTGAGCCAACTTTATATTTTCTCAAAGTACTTTCATTTACACGTACATATTTGTTTTTCAAAAGAATTCTGTGAAGCACGAGTAACAGGCTTAATCATTCTCATTTTATAGATAACGGGACAGGCTTGAGTGACTTGCCCCAAACCACAAAGTTAGTGCATAAACAAGAAAGGCTCAAGTTTTTTAACTCCTAATCACCTTCTTTTGGAACCATTATTTGGAAGACTTTTTTGGCATGGTCCAGTAAATATCAGAAAATTTGGTATTCTTTACAAGAACCACCAGGACAGGCTTCTGTGGGTAGACTAGCCTTTCCTGATTATCCATTTTGTATTTATTTTTCTCCATATTTGTATTTGTTTTTTATATATTATGTAGCTGAATATATATGTAACAATGGTTACTCTGAACCATACTGCCTGAAGGCCAGGAATGTTACATTTCCCCTCTCCTTCAGGATTCTCTAGTACCCGTAAAGTGGTTTAGGAGACTGTTCAGTCTCTCCAGCATTGCGTCCAGCTTCTACCAGTGGTATTCCCTCATTTTAGGGACCCCTACACCTTATTTAACCACTTAATGGTTGGATTAGCTTTTTACAAAAGAATACTTATTTCAAAGATATAGCAAGAATGAACATATAAACATTCCCCCCTTGTACCATCTCAGTGTCTGGAGAGAGGTAGGAGGTTAGAGTTACAGTTTAGATCAGTTCCTATATAGCACTGTACCCCCAGGTTCCAAGTCCAAAACTCTGCTTGGACTTGAGTTCCAGGAACCCTGATTTCTGTGGGCTTCCTTGCTAGGCTTGCTGCGTGAACATCTAGTCTAGAATCTTGGCTTCGAGGTCACCATGGCTTGAGTGAAGGTCTGGGCATTCTACCTCCTATGCCTAGAAATGAAAAGAACAATCAAAACAGACCAGACCAAAATCCCAAACCCATTTTGGGAGGCCACAGAGACTAAAAGGGAAGGAGGGGAAGGTAGGCCATTCCATCACCTTCTCAGCTTATAGTGCTCACGCCATGGACCTTCACTCCCGTGGATGCTACAAGAAAAAGAGAACATGACTGTCATAGTCTCATAGTTTTAAAGACTCAGCCTGTTCTGGCTACAAGGTTATTGTCATTCATATGTTAAGGGAATGGAAGATATCTTCTCCCAGAAGCAGGGTGCCTCCCTGTTGGGTGATCTGAACATACACAGCAAAGCCTCTGTTTCACACACAAACACACACACACACACACACATACACACATGTGTATATGTGTATACATATATGTATATATACGTGTATGTGTGTGTGTGTGTGTGTGTGTGTCGTAGCTAAGTGGCACAACTGCACCTGGGAGTTGGGAGGACCAGAGTTCAAATTTGGCCTCAGAAACTATCTATGTGACCTTGGACAAATTACTTAATCTCTTTCAACCTCAGTTCCCTCATTTCCTCATTCCACTTACCTCACAGGGTTGTTGTGAGGATCAAATGTGACAACATAGGCAGAGTGCTTTGCAATCCTTAAAGTACTCCATAAGTGGTAGATTTTGTTATGGTTATTGTTGTTCTTGGTAACTTCCATGTATATGTTAATTTGCACCAGTAGAATGTAAGATATTTAAAGGCAGGAATTGCTTTTGCTTATGTCTTTGTATCACCAGTGCCTATCACAGTGCCTTGCACACAGTTGTTCTTGAAGAGGACCATGACATCAGGAAGATGATGCCACGACATGCAAGTGAATTGGGTTTGAGTGAGGGAGGGCTGGGCAAAGTCACCAGCCTCACTTACTCCTCTGGAGCCATCTGGGTTCAGTGGCCAGATATAGATCAGGACAGCTGGAGATGGCCCAGGATGCAGTGGGAGACTTTGGCCTTTTTAAGCTGAGGTCTTTCCCAGTTCTTACTTTGACTGATTTAGTTTTTAGTGATTAGGGCTGTTTAAGAAGCAAACCAAAAAATCCATCTGGAAGTGGAAGACCCTCACTCAGGGTTTCTGGCCAACTAAGCCATCAGGCCCAAACAGTAACCATTAAGTGGTGCTTGGCTAGGGACCTACTGTTGGCCAATCAGTGACAGCTAGAGTGAATTGGGTTTAAGGTATGGTCTTTAAGAAAGAAAATCTAGTAGATGCTTAACAAATGCTTGTTGAATAAATGAATAAATGAGCCCTGGTAGACTTGGGAGAAGATCTCCAGAATTAGGTTAAATTCATGGCTTTCATATGAATTTGCATTTGCATTTTAGAGCTACTCTGACATTTCTTGCAGGGAGAGAGCCAGAGGATCAAGATACAAATTGGATGAAAAACCTCATGTAAAGCCAGCTATTCCATGTTTTTTTTTAGATCTGCTCATATTGACTTTGGCTGTAGCACCAAGCTTGATAACCCTGACGAGGTCTAAGAAACTCTGAGGTATTCACTTTAGAAAATATTTGCTCTGAAGTTTCCATTTTTCAATTTAAACATTATTAAGTTCATCATAGCATGTCTAGTATGGATCCTGTGCTAGGCAGTGAGGATACAAAGACAACAACAAAAAAAAAGAAATGGGAGCTGCTCTGTCCTCAAGGAGCATGCATTCTATTTGTGGGGATACAACTTCCTAAAATATAGATCTAACCATGCAATCCCCCTATTTAATAAACTCTAGCTCTTCATCACCTCCAGGATCAAATGGGAAATCCTTTATTTGGTGTTCAAAGTCCCTCCTAACTTTTCCCCATCCTACCTTTCCAGTCTTCTTATACATTACTCCTTCCCTCCCTCCCCAATACTCTGTGATCCAGTTATACTGGCCACTTTGTTCCATGCGCAGGACACTCCACTTCTGGACTTTGCTTTTTCACTGGCTGTCCTCCACACCTGTGATTCCATTCCTAGAAAACATGGTCATGCCAGATAACTTCTCCTTTCTTGATAGGATGACTAAACTAGTAGATGAGAGATGCTTTTGATAAAGTTGATAAAGTTTGGTAAAGGTGAAGGTTGAATGAGCTTATAGAGGCCATTCCTTGGTACAAAGGTCCAGAGCTTCTTTGGAAATTTCCAGGGACTCCCAAGACATAATAACTTATTTCTTGCCCTTTCAAGGATGAATACATGGTGGCCCACCACTGAAAGGACTTGTTTTCCTTCGAATGTTATTGGAAACTGAATGATCCTTTGGTCCTTCCTAGAACGTTCCCATCTTGGCTTTCACTTTCTATGACTTGACTTTCCAATACAAGAGGGTGACAGGATAGGCAGTATTTATCCTCCCTTTCCCTCCCTTCCTCTGCACCCCCCGCCCAACTCCCATCCCTCCACAGCCTACATGGAGCTTAAACTCCACTATATGAGTTTGTACCTGGACCCCTGTTGGGCCTTTTCCACTTTGATTTCCTTTCCTGATCAGGTAATCTCGTATTTTCAAATGGTCTGGAGATCTACAGCAGGCAACCTCTTTCTTCAGATTCTCTGTGGGAGTGTTCACCGGAGTGGCTGGCTGCAGCTAAGGCAGACAAAAGAAAGGAGCACAAAGTTCAGAGAAGGCTCGGGCTCAAGCTCAGGTTTGGAGTGGAGTGATATTGCAAAGCTGAGGTGAAATGTGGAACACCTGATTAGCAGGCTCGCAAAACTGCCTTATGTTTTGATGAGATTCAAAAGTTAGCAGCAAGACCTGTTTATTAGCAGCAAGATCTATAAGACCTGATATTAGGAGTGGGTCTGACCCCAGGACCCTGTTGGTTAAGTTTAATGTTAGGATGACATGAGATGTAAAAAGACATCGCACAGTTAATGGTTTTGTTACTGTTGTTCAGGCATGTCTGATTCTTCAGGATCCCCTGGACCACAGCTCACCATGCCTTTTTATCCTCCACTATCTCTCAAAGTCTGTCCAAACTCATGTTCATTGTTTCCATGCTACTATCTATCCATCTCATCCTCTGCTGTCCCCTTCAGCTTTTGCCTTCAATTTTGCCCAACATCAGGCTTTTTTTCAGTGAGTCCCATCTTCTCATCATGTGGCCAAAGTATTTAAGCTTCAGCTTCAGTATCTGACCTTCCAGTGAATAGTCTGAATTAATTTCTTTAAGTATTGACTGATTTGATCTCTTTGCTTCCAAGGGACTCTCAAAAGTCTTCTCCAGTACCACAATCTGAAAGTGTCAATTCTGCGGCACTCAGTTTTCCTTATAATCCAACCCTCACAGCCATATATTGCTACCAGAAAAACTACAGCTTTTACTCCACAGACCTCTGTCAGCAAGATGATGTCTCTGCTTTTTAGTATGCTGTTCAGATTTGCCATAGCTTCCTTCTAAGGAGAAAGCATTTTAAAAATTTTCATGGCTGTAGTCACTGTCTGCAGTAATCACTGGGCCTAAAAACAAACAAAATGGGACGTTGCTTCCATTTTTTCTCCTTCTATTTGCCAAAAAATAATGGGACCAATTGCTAAGATCTTAGTGTTTTTGGTTTTTTTTTATGTGAAGCTTTAAGCTAACTTTTACATTCTCCCCCATCACTCTCATTAAGAGGCTTTTTAATTCCTCTTCACTTTTTGCCATCAGAGTGGTATAGTTTGCATATCTGAAATTATTGATATTTCTCCTAGCAACCTTAATTCCAGCCTGGTGTTTCACATGATGTATTCTGCAAAAGTCAAATAAGTAAGGTGACAATATGTAACCTTGTCGTACTCCTTTTCCAGTCTTAAACCAATAAGTTGTTCCATATTCAACTCTAACTGTTGCTTTTTGATCAGCGTACCTGTTCCTCTGGAGACAGATAAAATGATCTGGTACTCCCACGTCTTTGAGGACTTGTCATATTTTGTTGGCATCCACACAGTCAAAGGCTTTAGTGTGGTCAATGAAGCAGAAGTAGATGTTTTTCTGAAACTCTCTTGCTTTCTCCATAATCCAGTGAATGTTTGCAATTTAATCTCTATTTCTTCTGCTTCTTCAAAAACTAGCCTGCTCTTCTGGTATTTCTCAGTTCGTATACTGCTGAAGCCTAGCCTGCAGAATCTTAAGCATAACCTTGCTGGCCTGTGAAATGAACACAATTATTCAGTAATTCGAACATTCCTTGGCATTATCCTTCTTTAGGATTGGGGTATAAACTGACCTTTTCCAATCCATTGTTGTGTTTTCCAAATTTGCTGCCACACTGAGTGCAGCACTTTAACAGCGTCATCTTTTAGGGTTTTAAATAGCTTAGTTTGAATTCCATCACCTCCACGAGCCTTATTGTTAGCGTTGTTTCCTAAAGCCCGTTTGACTTCATTCTCCCGGATGTCTGGCATAGTTTTCTCATAAAAATCAGTTCCACGAAATATCCCTCTTGTAGTAAAAAAAACATTTCCTTAAGACATAAAAAAAGTAAATACTGATGTTTTCAGATACCTCTTTCAGATATCCACACACACCTAAAGAACATTCCCACCAAAGTCCAGTACCATAACAATTTCCTTAAAAAGATAGGGCCATCCTGACCCAAGGGGGATTCCACCACATTCCAGAACCTTCTCCTCCATACCATATAGACAGGCTTTATTTGTGTATCAGCTACCTAAATTAGCATTTTCCCCAAGGACAAAAACCTGTAAGGAAAGCAAAAAATAGATATCTTCCTCTATTACCTATCTTCTAAGAATATGGGTTGCTAGAAAAAGTGCAAGTCCAAGAATAAAAAAACAAAAACACATTCAAGCTGTAGAAAAGCCAACATTTCCACTTCACATGAAAAAAAGAACTTCTAACATGTAAGTTAAATGACATTCAATGTGTTTTCTGTAGCAATGCTGCTTTGTTTAAAAAAAGGAACCCCAACACCTTATATGAGTTGATCATCCAAGGAGAAATAACTCAAAATGGGGTAAATAAAGCATCAAAATATTTTTATCAGCCACATGTACACACATATGTATGTATGTATATATATATATATATATACACACACATATACTTTTTTAATCACAGAAAATTGAATTGGATAGATTCAAGGGCCTTAATGATATTTTAATCTGACAAACCTGTCTTGCCATTGGACTCCAATGACTCTGGAGAAGAGAGTGAGGCTGATGACATCACTGGTGCTCTGCCTTACTTCAATCCAATTCATGGGAGAGTCAAGACATCACACTCCTGATGTCCTTGGTCCTCTTCAAGAATGAAGGATGAACAGCAACCTGACAAACAGATCTGGAAACTGTTCAGAAAAGCAGCAATAAAATGAAAAGGACTATTGAATTTTATCTGAATTTTTCAAAATACATTTAGACTTTTTCTGGTCTAGTTTTTCATAATAGTTTCAAAACTGAACACAATGTTTAAGATTCACCAGAGTTGTAACTAGACCAAAGCAAACAAACCAGGACTTTGTTCCAGGGTACTTGGAGTCTTTTAGCAGCTAGAAAGAATTGAGTTTAGTCTCTAGTTAGCAAGAGTGATTAATTAGGGGGCAGCTAGGTGGCACAGTGGATAGAGCACTGGCCCTGAAGTCAGGAAGACTTGAATTCAAATCCGGCCTCAGACCAAACACTTGACACTTACTAGCTGTGTGACCCTGGGCAAGTCACTTAACCCCAATTGCTGAAAAAAAAAAAATAGTGATTAGTTAAAATAGGGAGTTACCAGATGGCAGCTTCCCCTTGGTAATTTTATTGGTATAGCTTCAAAAGTATGAATTAATTTTGATAGCATGTATCATATTGACACAATCTAACCATGAGCACTCAATATCCCCCCAGTTATTTAAGCAATTCTTTATTTCTTTAATGAGCACTTTGTAATTGAACAAACCCTTTATGTGCTTTGGGAAGTTGATCCTCGGACATTTTCAGAGGAAATTTCATGAAGAAGGCAGTATTTGACTCAACTTTTTTTTTTTTCCATTTTTTGGTGAGGCAGTCGGAGTTAAGTGACTTGCCCAGAGTCACACAGCTAGTAAGTTTGACTCAACTTTTAAAGGATTGGTAGGAACTCAATGGGTAAAGATTTGGAGAAAGTATTCTATGGGCAGCTAGGTGGCACAGTGGATAGCACACTGGGCCTGGAGTCAAGAAGATTCCTCTTCCTGAGCTCAAATCTGGCATCAGACACTAACTTTGTATGACTCTGGGCAAGTCATTAACCCCTATTTGCTTCAGTTTCCTCATCTGAGTTGGAGAAGGAAATGGCAAATCATTCCAGTTATCTTTGCCAAGAAAACCCCAAATGGAGTCACGAAGAGTCAGACACGACTGAAATGACTTGACAACAAAATTTTAGGCATAGGAAACAATGAGAAAAAGGACTGACACAGAAGAGCTCAATGGGTGCTTAGAAGGGCAGAGAGTTTGGAAGGAATATTCATGAAGTAAGATAAAAGGAAAAAGCACGCTGCCAGATTGTGAAAAATCCTGAATACCAGGTAAAGGGGTTTGAATTTTACTTAGTAGGCACTGAAGATTTTAGAGCAGAGGAGGAACGTTCCCAGATCTACATGCAAGAGAGATCATTAAATCCAATACATTTTTATTAGCGTGTGGTTTTTGTCTGAAAAACGGTAAGAATTATCCTTAATTCCTATTGACTAGGGAACCTCTGGCACAGTTGACATTTCCCAAGGCTCACAATAATTAATCTGCTAGGGAACCTTTTAAAATTGGATTTTTATCTAGAACTTTTACCTATTACTCAAGTTGCCAGTGCGGTTGTTAGGCAGCATCTTGGCTTTGCTCTTATGCCAGTTAGCAAAAATACCAGTTGAACTTGCTCTTCTCTCAAGAAATCTCATTGGTGTTGCCGAGTAGGTTTTGTTTCCCTTCTGTAAAACATACGCTACCTTCTACAACTTTGCCTAATACTATTTGAAAGGTTTCACTTCATCTATTCTCTATTTTTCCCATGGTTACCATACATCTCATCTGTATAATCCAATGGGCTTCAGTCTTTATCACGGTTGACCTCTCTAACCTTTTGACTCTATTATCAACCCCCTTCTCTAGGTCATTTCTCCCTCCCTTGACTTCCATAAAATGGTTCTCTCTTATTCTCCTCCTTCCTTTCTGACCATTCCTTTTCAGTCTCCTTTGACATATGGTCATCCTTCTTTCCACCAAATGTGGGCATCCCTCCTGATTCTATACTGCCACCCTTGAGGGCTGGGTCAGTTTCCTTCTAGTCTTTCTATCCTCAATGCCTAGCACAATTTATTAATTTTTATTTCTGGACCCAAATCTATGATTTCGAAGGTCTGGGGAGCTCTGGATGAGGAAACTGCCTCAGCCAATGCTCATTTGAGCATTCATACTGTTGTATGAACTCATAGTCTTAGAGTTGCCAAGATCATTGAGAGGTTAAGTGACTTGTCCAGAGTCATATAGCTAGTATGTGTCAGTGGTAGAGTTTGAGCTAGGTCTTCCTAAGTCCCAGATTGGCTCTCCATTCACTATCCCATACTGTCTCTTTTTTTTCCTGGTGAGGCAATTGGGGTTAAGCGACTTGCCCAGAGTCACACAGCTAATAAATGTTGTGTCTGAGGCCGGATTTCTGACTCTAGGGCTGGTGCTCTATCTACTGCATCACCTAGCTGCCCCCCACACTGCCTCTTTTACTAAACATATATTAGATGCTTAATAAATGTTTGTTAAATCAAATTAAATGTTTTACATAGGAAAAAACTGTAGCAGGAGCAGCTAGGTGGGACAGTAGATAGTGAGCCAGGCCCGGAGTCAGGAAGATTCATCTTCATGAGTTCAAATCTGGCCTCAGAAACATAGTTGCTGTGTGACTCTGGGCAAGTCACTTAACCCTGTTTGCCTCAGTTTCCTCATCTTTAAAATGACCTGGAGAAGGAAAGGGCAAAACACTCCCGTTTCTTTGTCAAGAAAACCACAAATGGGGTCACAATGAGTCAGACATGACTGAAAAACGACTGAATAACAACTGCATTTTAACTTCATTGACCTGCATAGATTGCTTTGTACACGTCTCTATCAAAGACTCAGTGGTATAGGGGAATAAATGCTGGACTTTAAATCAGTGTCAATCTGGGTGGAAATCCCAGCTCTAACATTAAGTAGCTGTGTTATCATGAGCCAGTCACTTGATTGCGCTCAGCCTCAGTTTGTCATCCATGAAATCGCATTACAGACTTCACAGGATTGCATGTCAAGGCTCACAACCCTTAAAACGCCAGACCAACATGAATTAAAATCTTATCTACACGTAATATTAAAATCCAAGGGTTTGTTTTCTCACCTTGGCTTTGCATTTAGGTGTAGAACATTCGGTTAGCAATGTTTATTAAATCCTGATTACATGCCAAGTCCTGGGTGTAGCGGTTGAGAAGAGAAGAGAGGAATGAGGAGACCACATAGCTCTCAAATTGCCTACCATGGGAAGGATGTGAAAATGGGGACTGGTGGCATCAGCACGGCCTTATCTACTTTGATTATAGGTGTCACCACAGAAGACCTTAGGATCAAATTCTGAAATGCATGGCATGTGGAAATTTAAGCATATTTTGATTTATTCATGTCCTACTGAAGGAGAGACATCAGTATACATCAACTACTGACCTACAGGCCCACTATTCCATCTATATACGTTTTTAAAATAAGAATAATCTCAGGGCAATGAGGTGGTGTGGTGAATAGAGCTCTGGCCTTGGAGTCAGGAGGACCTGAGTTCAAATCCAGCCTCAGACACTTAACACTTACTAGCTGTGTGACCCTGGGCAAGTTATTTAACCCCAATCACCTCACCAAAAAAAAAAAAAAGAAAAAAAATAAGAATAATCTCTATGAGCAACAAGAGTATTTTTAAAATTTAAAATTTTTAATTTTTTAAGAGT